AAGTAAATTCAAAATAATAATAAGCTTCAATTCAAAATAATAGCGCAAAAGAATTTAAATTTAAGGCATCAATATAAATTGGTGAGTTTTACAAAACAAATTGACTTAAAAATTCAAAATAATTTATGAGAATCATAAGAATATTTTTGAAATTATGGAGAAAATAAATTTAAAGTAATTAATCTTGTCCTTATAATGCATACAGAGCTCTTAATTTTACATTATAAGCAAAGAAATATTTTATTGTAAGGAAATTAATTTTAAGCGATTAGTTTTTTTTAATTAAGTTTGTAACTTACGAAAATTATACATTTAAAATGCAAGTTATGCACTAATTTTATGCTTCTGTAAATAATTTGAAGAATACAATTTCATTCATTCTCTTACAATTGGAAAACTATTAATTTCAAAGACCAATAGGAATTAAAATGTCGAGAAATTTTCATTAAATTAAGTGAAAGTTTGTTAAAATTAACACATTACATTTGTAAACATTATTTATTTATTTATTTATATTTATTATTTTTATTTTTATTTTTTTTATGAAGTGCAGTGCCAAATTATTTTTATAATGTCAATCATGGAAACACAACAAGGAAATTTGATCAAGGCTCTAAAGTTGTTGAAATGAAGTTTTTAAAGTTCGATTACTCAAAAACTATTTGATCGATTTCATTCAAATTTCGTATTTTTTCTCTTAGAATTCCGCTCTTTATCATGATGTAAAAATTTGTATTTCTTTCAATAAAAAATTTTTCTGACTATTATTAAATAAAATTATAAAAAATATTAAATAGTTATTAAATTTTTTGAGTGGAATCTCAATGGAGAAGTAAGTTTTGTAATTGTGTTCAAACTATTTTCCATTCAGTAAAAAATTTCTCGAGATACGGAGAAAGAAGCAAAAGATAAAATTAATATGAAGAGGTCTAAACTGCTCTTCTGACCAAACTATTGAGATCATATTTCCAAGATGGCAACTGACCCCCTTTCAACCACACACAAAAGGCCTGTACATCATTTAATGACATTTTTATCTGTCTACAATTATCAATTTCATTCTCATTTCACTACAAAAAGTTGTTCTTGAATAGTGCTGAAATTTCCAGCCATGATAATGTTAAAAACCTTTGAATCTGATTTGTAAAGATTATGCTTTTTTTATGCTGGATTTTAAATTAAAAATATTGGATTTTATTAAATATAAATTTTTTGACAGAATTTAGAAATAGTCTATTTCATTGAAACCAACGCTTCGATGAACAACTGTTAACCATTACCACTACTAGTACTTTGTAATAGTTACTTACTCTTTTAACTAGTTTTATTAACTAGTTTTTTCTCCAGAAATGGCAGACGTCATCCATAGCTGCCGATTTTTGCGGGAGATTTAATTTTCTAAGTGTTAACAACACATAAGAATCAAAATTATTTTCTTAGTTTCAAAAAGTTGAATTATAATGATTATGATGACCACTATATATAAATAATTTAAATAAAGATATAACAAACAATATGTTTTTCAAAACAAGAACTGTTGTACAGTTAAAACAATTTCTATTTATAATTGTTAAATCAATTGCTATATCGCTACCATTGCTAGGAGCGTTAACTAGAATGCTTAACAAAAGGCAACTATTTCTATCTAATAATTAATATCTTTTGGTTGGGGGCCATTATCGATTTTTAAGTTACTTTTCGCTTATAAATATATTTTTGGCAAAAACTATTTGAAATATGTTACACACTCGATCTTTTGAGTAGTCCGTTTATGATGATGGAATAGCTTTTATAAATTATTTTACTTAAATATCGAATCGTAAATCACAAGTAATTTCAACAAGTAATTGGTGAATTATAGAAAGCAAAAATCTTTTAAAAATAATAAAATAAGCAACTTTTTCTAGTATATTTCTTTCAGTTTACTATTGAAAGTAAATGCCATATATATATATATATATATATATATATGTGGCATTTACTTTCAATAGTAAACTGAAAGAAATATACTAGAAAAAGTTGCTTATTTTATTATTTTTAAAAGATTTTTGCTTTCTATAATTCACCAATTACTTGTTGAAATTACTTGTGATTTACGATTCGATATTTAAGTAAAATAATTTATAAAAGCTATTCCATCATCATAAACGGACTACTCAAAAGATCGAGTGTGTAACATATTTCAAATAGTTTTTGCCAAAAATATATTTATAAGCGAAAAGTAACTTAAAAATCGATAATGGCCCCCAACCAAAAGATATTAATTATTAGATAGAAATAGTTGCCTTTTGTTAAGCATTCTAGTTAACGCTCCTAGCAATGGTAGCGATATAGCAATTGATTTAACAATTATAAATAGAAATTGTTTTAACTGTACAACAGTTCTTGTTTTGAAAAACATTTTGTTTGTTATATCTTTATTTAAATTATTTATATATAGTGGTCATCATAATCATTATAATTCAACTTTTTGAAACTAAGAAAATAATTTTGATTCTTATGTTTTGTTAACACTTAGAAAATTAAATCTCCCGCAAAAATCGGCAGCTATGGATGACGTCTGCCATTTCTGGAGAAAAAACTAGTTAATAAAACTAGTTAAAAGAGTAAGTAACTATTACAAAGTACTAGTAGTGGTAATGGTTAACAGTTGTTCATCGAAGCGTTGGTTTCAATGAAATAGACTATTTCTAAATTCTGTCAAAAAATTTATATTTAATAAAATCCAATATTTTTAATTTAAAATCCAGCATAAAAAAAGCATAATCTTTACAAATCAGATTCAAAGGTTTTTAACATTATCATGGCTGGAAATTTCAGCACTATTCAAGAACAACTTTTTGTAGTGAAATGAGAATGAAATTGATAATTGTAGACAGATAAAAATGTCATTAAATGATGAACAGGCCTTTTGTGAGTGGTTGAATGGGGGTCAGTTGCCATCTTGGAAATATGATCTCAATAGTTTTGTCAGAAGAGCAGTTTAGACCTCTACATATTAATTTTATCTTTTGCTTCTTTCTCCGTATCTCGAGAAATTTTTTAGTGAATGGAAAATAGTTTGAACACAATTATAAAACTTACTTCTCCATTGAGATTCCACACAAAAAATTTAATAACTATTTAATATTTTTTATAATTTTATTTAATAATAGTCAGAAAAATTTTTAATTGTAAGAAATACAAATTTTTACATCATGATAAAGAACGGAATTCTAAGAGAAAAAATACGAAATTTGAATGAAATCGATCAAATAGTTTCTGAGTAATCGAACTTTAACATCACTTTAACATCGAACTTTAATCGAACATTTCTACAACTTTAGAGCCTTGATCAAATTTCCTTGTTGTGTTTCCATGATTGACATTATAAAAATAATTTGGCACTGCACTTCATAAAAAAAATAAAAATAAAAAAATAAAAATAATAAATATAAATAAACAAATAAATAATGTTTACAAATGTAATGTGTTAATTTTAATACTAAAAGAAAACACAAATAATTAAGATCAAANAACTTACTTCTCCATTGAGATTCCACTCAAAAAATTTAATAACTATTTAATATTTTTTATAATTTTATTTAATAATAGTCAGAAAAATTTTTTATTGAAAGAAATACAAATTTTTACATCATGATAAAGAGCGGAATTCTAAGAGAAAAAATACGAAATTTGAATGAAATCGATCAAATAGTTTTTGAGTAATCGAACTTTAAAAACTTCATTTCAACAACTTTAGAGCCTTGATCAAATTTCCTTGTTGTGTTTCCATGATTGACATTATAAAAATAATTTGGCACTGCACTTCATAAAAAAAATAAAAATAAAAATAATAAATATAAATAAATAAATAAATAATGTTTACAAATGTAATGTGTTAATTTTAACAAACTTTCACTTAATTTAATGAAAATTTCTCGACATTTTAATTCCTATTGGTCTTTGAAATTAATAGTTTTCCAATTGTAAGAGAACTAGAAATTGTATTCTTCAAATTATTTACAGAAGCATAAAATTAGTGCATAACTTGCATTTTAAATGTATAATTTTCATAAGTTACAAACTTAATTAAAAAAAACTAATCGCTTAAAATTAATTTTCTTACAATAAAATATTTCTTTGCTTATAATGTAAAATTAAGAGCTCTGTATGCATTATAAGGACAAGATTAATTACTTTAAATTTATTTTCTCCATAATTTCAAAAATATTCTTATGATTCTCATAAATTATTTTGAATTTTTAAGTCAATTTGTTTTGTAAAACTCACCAATTTATATTGATGCCTTAAATTTAAATTCTTTTGCGCTATTATTTTGAATTGAAGCTTATTATTATTTTGAATTTACTTTAAAAATGAATTTCCAATTTTTATCTTAACTTTGATTAGGTTTTTAGTATGATTAAATATGATTTTGCCTGTTTTAATTATATACTAGTTCTAACGCTTTAACTCTATTTTTTTATTCAAATCAATTATTTATTCAATATTTATTTTTAAAATGATTTATCATTTTTGTAAAAATGTTAACATTGTTTATTTATTTATTCACCTTTAACTCTGCATAACATAATAGAGAGAGAACGATACAATGGTATTCTTTGCTCGACATAATATTCTTCTACATTAAAATGTAAAAACAAATATGATTTCATGTATTTTATTTAATTCATTATTTAGTATCTATTCAAATACTTAAACGACCCTGAACAAAATAATCATCGACACCTTTTATTAGTTTTATTACGATAAAATCAAAGTAAAAACGCATAAGAAGTAAATAAAATTAAGTTTGTAATTTATTTTAATTTAATTAATTTAATTTACTTAATGTAATTCGTTTCTTTCGTGCACTTTATTCCTTTGCACGCATTTTGAATAAAATTATCCATCCACTATTATTTGATCACATTTTAAATTTAGTTTGTGTAATGAGTTTTACTAGTAGTGCGAAAACAGCTTCTGTAAAACAAATCATAAAACTAAATCTCACTCACCAATTTATCTGAAACCGTAGCTGCCAACTCGACACTAAAGAACTTTTTATCATCGTTCAAAACATCATCTCCAGGTGCCGGACAAAATAGCAAATGGGTCGAGTATCGATTCATCGCGGGGAATACCTCTCCCCACTTTTCTATTTTTTTTATTTTATTTCCACGTGATTCACAGACCAATATGAGGGGAGGGGGGGCAAAAGAAAATTTAGGTAGACCAGCTCTCCCGATGGAATATTCAGTTAAATATAACTATCGTCCAGGCAGCCTAAAAATCATGAATATCGGTTTTTGTGACCTATTTTCTTTCTCCGAAACGGTAGTCTTTATAATTAATCTGATCATACTTTCAAGTGGACTTAATGAGATAAGTATTTCCACTTGTATCTCACGTCGTAGAATATATTTTATTTAATCTCAACAGGGAAATGGGGGCATTTCTTTATTGAAAATTTTATTATAAAATGTAAATAATAAAAAAGTTTATGACAGCTGTGCGAAAATTAGAAGTTCTGTCTAACACTAAGAATTATAATAAAAACAAAATGCAATACAGAAAATATAAGTTTCAAGATTCGTGCAACTGTTCTTAAATACGCTTCATCGAAAACACTTTTTACTTTTTTGATACTTTCCATTTACACAAGACCATTAGGTATTTTTTTCTTCAAAGTTAGACAAAATTTTACCCTAACAAAAAGAGTACTGGAATAATTGAAGCTAGAAAACTTCAATATCATAATTGAAACCCATTTTACGTAAACCAGTTTGTTTTAAAATGTGAATTAATAGTACAGTATAAATTTTCGCGAAGGAAAATGACAGCAAAATGGTTTTCAACTGCCATTAATCTTTAATATTATGATTTTTATAAGCGAAAAAATCCCATTCATGCAAAGTATTAGGACAAGAATTCGTGGGTCAGGGTTCATATGATTCTGGAAACGATAAAAAAAATTGGTACTACTATATGATTATAGTAGTGAATTTATTATTGAATCCACTACTTATTTTTTTATTCCAACATCTACTGAATTTCTGTAGTTTCAAAAATTATTTTTCCTAGTGCTAGAAAAGTAATATGTCAATAAATTACAATTTAAATGAATTTTGTTCACCACTGGACATAAATAAATTGAACAAATATAAAAAGCCTCTGATAGTTCATGTACTTAAGATCTGATAAAAGTTCTATTTCTTTAAAATTTTCTGTTTTAGTTCGGTGCCTCTGGAAAAACTATTCCTCAAAAAAATCAAATGCTGGAGGCAGTTTTATGAAAATGCCATGAAGAAAAAAATTAAAATTTTATTTTATAGAATTTTTTTATTGTATTAAAATAGTGAAAATGAGTGAGTTAGGTAGTTTTATTTATTAAGAAAGTTTACTGACCGCAAAGTAAGTACAGTTTATTTTTTACTCCGTGTGTTCCATCCCAGTGATGTCCAGATTTCATTCCAACTTGTTCTTTTTTCATCCCATTTTATTATTCCAGTTTGTTTGTTATTTGATTCCTGCAGATTTAAAGAGTCCGAAACGGTTATATAGTAATACATTAGAGATCTAAGCCCCACATATTTATGAAAACGAATACATCATACTTTGTACCAATGCCTTTTTTGAGAGAAAATATTAATACTATGAAATAAAAACTATTTGAAAAGGCTTTTCCGATCAATATTTGTCTCATGTGTGTGCTTTTAATTAATAAATAATACATTTAATAAAAACTGTAACGGACAATTAAAATTGCAGGGCCAAAAGATTAAGACATTTATTGGGCTGTGTTTTTTTTTAATTTTTTTTTTAAACAAAGCCCTTTTTCTTTTCTGTACTCAAATTAATTTGTGCTTTACTCATAGAAGCAATATACCGACTAGTTTGGGTTAGTTCAATGAAATGATAGAAATAAAGCTGAAATGATTGAGAAAACTGGCTATACTTTCATTATAAATTAAACTAAAACATTTGAAGAGTAAGGTTTTATATAAAAATAATGCATGTAAATCAATTCTATGATCGATCATAAATCTTTTACAAGACATCAAAATAAAGTTAATCTTTTAAAAACTAATGCTTTTTCTTATATAAATAAAAATATTAAGCGGCTTTAATATCTTCTTCTCAAATTAAAGCAATCTAAATAAAGTATACTTCAATTTCAAGCAACGATCTTTAATAGGTCTTGATCTTAGATTGCTTAAAAGTTTGAAAACGCTTGAAAAAATAGCATTAGAGAAAAAAAGCTTTAAATTTCAGGATCATTTTAATTATACTTTAACTCAATATCTTTATTTCACTGAAAGAAGGGTTTTTTTTTAATTTTTCAGAAATGTGTCAAAATAGTTCCGAAAACAAATAGTAGTCAAATTTGAAAACCCTATGTATTCGAGATTGTAAAAGAATACACTCTTTTTCGAGCAAAATCACAGCCTCAAAAGTGATGTGAGGAGAGAAATGTGTGAAAGATGTTCGTTGTCTGGTGGCAGTATTGGAATCAAACGGTCCTTTTGATTCGAATACTGCCGTTTTGATTGGAATCCGAAATCGTAGGAGAATACTCGAACCAGTACCATAATTATACATCCCAGTCGAGAGAGAAGATGGGAAGCTATTTTGATATGATTTTAGTTCAAGTTTCAGAAGCCCTTTTTTATAGTGTTAAAAATATTTCATACCAAATATTACGCACCAATAATTAATTTAAAAAGAAAACATGATTTGATTTTAACCATTACATTATAGAATATTAAATGTGTACTTTATAAATCAACAATCTGAAATAAATGTCGCACACGATATTTAAATTAGAATTAATCGAATAAACTTTGCTTTTTATAATTTAAATCAATTATTGACACGTAAGCAATGATTCTAACTATTAGTTTATCAAATACGTGAATCATTTTTGTCTTAAGCAGAAAAAAAAAGTCGCAGACAAAAGTCAAAATATTGAAATTAGAGCTTGAACAGTCAATAACATTTTATTCAGTATTAACTATTTACTAATTAAAATGGTAATTTTTAAGTTAAATATGACTAATATCGAATAGAATTTTAAATCGAGAAGAATATTGCAGCAGGTTCTTTGCGAAAATATTTAAGTAAATAAATACAAACATTATTATTATATTTTAAATAAATCATTAAACATTTTATACTGATAAAATGTCCACCGATTATAGTTCAATATACCGTAATTAAAAAAAATCCTTACTTTTATAAGCGTTCTAAATTTCTTTAAGACCCTGATGCATGCTGATAAAAGGAATTGTTTATTAATCTTATTTCAATGCTTCTTTCTTCCCAAACAATTATAATTTATTCTGAAAAGGGTCGATCATGAAATTTTTCATGACAAGGTCTTAGCTTTAATGATATGTATTACTCTTTGCGACAGAATTGATCACAAATCTTCCCCTTGGTTACGTTTATTTTATTATTGTTGGTAACAGAGAACAACACAATTATTGGAAAAATAATTCTGAGAAAAATAAATGTCATAAACTCTGTCCTACAATAAAGGTTAAAATGCAGCAACTGATCTTTTAGCTAATATTTATTTTATGTTAATGATTGGCATAAAGCGATAGCCACTCTTCTACTTTTTGATAATATTTTAAATCAAAATTCGTGAAACGTATCGAAAATTAAATTTCATTTTTTTTTCATTCACTCATTTCGTGAGTTTTTTATGGTAGCTAAACTGTATCTATTTCTCATAATGACAATAAATAATACCTTTTGATCATTGTAAATGAATGTTATTTGTTACTAATATTAGTTAAATTTCTTAAATATTTGTTTATGATAATTTATACAAATGTGTAATTAAAAGTTTTTCAACCAGTGTATAATATAATTTTGTCAACATTGCAATTCAATAATAAACTATGATAATTTTCATTTAAATAATAAACATTTTGTTTGCATAATTGTAGAATATTAAACTGCGAATTTGATTAGAATCATACATTTGCTTAATTCTAGAATGTTCCTTGTTTTTTGTGAAGGAAAGATGATTTTTATTAACGCCCATTTAAAAGATAGTAGTACATTCTTATTAAAAATCTAAAAATATTTTTCAATAATTTTTGTTTCATTTCATTCATTAAAATCTATTGAACTTACTGCATTTTAAGTATTAAGGTTGTAAGTTATAATATAAGGTTGTAGTTACAAGGTTATAGTTAAATATAAGGATGCAGTTGTTTAAATAGTAAGCATTTCGTTTGGTTATGGAATATTAAACTGTGACTTTGATTACAATTATAAAAAAGTCATATTCTAGAATTTTCTTTGTCTTTTTGTGTAGATAACGAAACATGGTCTAAAATCTAAGAATATTTTAGAATAATTTTTGTTTAATTTTATTCATATGAAAATTTTCAACCCAATTTTAAATATTAAGGTTGTAGATATTTTTAAAACTTTTACAAATTTTAAAGCTTTTCAAAATTCAAGTTTTAAATGTACTTAAAATTTAATATTTCATAACTAAAGCTTAATAGAACACATTTTAATGAATAATATGAAGTATTCAAAAATATTAATCAGTTTCTGAATAAATATGGAAATTTAGGTCCATTAAAGATAGGAGTAATTTCAGTTATTTGTAGCATACTTTTTCATTGACGTTATTTCAGAATTTTTGGAGAAAAAAATCATAGCATTGAAATGTATCTAAAATAAATTGAAAGTTTATCAATTATTTAAATTTGAATAAAATAATTAAGAAAATATTAAAATAATAAATATTTGAAATATTTTTGAAAAATAAAAAGTTTACATGTAAAGATGAGTAAATATTTTTCAAACATACACTATACAGTTTAAAGATATAATTATGAAATTTTGTGTGCAAATAGTTAAATGCATTATTTCAAAAATTATTAATTTCTGATTAATTACTAAAAATATTTTTCCTGTCTATGAAGTGTATAGTAAAAAAAAAAAATGCAGATTCCGCGTTTTTCGTTTAACGTTTAATTTAAACAGAAACTGCTTTTAAGAAAAGCATAGTATTTTATTACTTGTTTTGTTGCATTATTTTGCATTTTGTTACGAATTATTGCCATTATTGTAATTTAAAGAAACACATTGTTAACCATTGTTTAAAAGTTTAACAATGAATGATCATAAATTGTTAGAAATAATCTTCGATTATTGTAAATAGAAACCTATCTTTTAAGAGTCATGTCTAAGAAATTAGAAATAGGATTTATTGTGATAAGTTTATTTTCCTACGTCTTAGGTAAGCACATCACATAAAATTAAAAATATCTAACATTCTAAGTTTCCACTACAAATTTAGAACACGTAATATTGGTAAATTGTTTTTTAATTTAAATTATAAAATAAATAAAACTTCTCATAAAAACTCATACTTAAAATTATTAATATGTACTATATTTCATTATTCCATATTTTAAAAAAGCTTTATATAAAAATTGCTTTAAATTTATTGTTAAAAACTTTATTTCCTACGCGTTAGAGGAACATGTATAATGTATGTATGAATATTATTTTAAATGTTTCGTTTATAATAATAATTATTCAGAATTATTGAAAATTATATTTTCCGAAAAAAATAAAATAAGCGAAACTTTCTTCAGAAAGCATCATAAAAGCTGAAATGTCTTTATATTCATTTTATTACAAAAATTATTTTCTGTTCCAAATGTGTACATTATAAAGAATCTTATAAAACTATACCTTCATGAAGTTCCAAATTGAACCCAATTTTAGTTCTCTTTTAACAAGTTTTTGGATTGATTGCACGATTTTACGACGGTTTTCAAGGGTTATGAATCCATTTTTTATTTTAATCTTGTATTAATAAAAGTATTCCCTCTTCAGATTTAACTGGTTTATAGTATTTCTTAGAAGTCAGAATAATTACTTAAAGGCATAAATTAAAACGTTAATGCATCGAAAAATGGTTACTCGTGATTTAAGATCAAAAGTATTAGAGTAGACTCCCACTCTTAACCGAATAATGAGATTGCTGTAGGGGAGATTGGGGTCAATTGTAACATTTTTTACTTAACTAATTTTATCTGACAAAAAATCCAATATATTTTTAGCATTAATTGACAGACGAGTAAAGTAGACTATCCTCTACTAGGAAAAAAAAACCTTATTTTAAATGTTATTATATTAGTTATTAACAATTTTTGACAGTCGTGCACTTGTTACAATTGTCCCCACTTACGGGGTCAATTGTAACAGTTCATAAATTCAACTAAAACATAGTTAATTATACATATTATCATAGTTGTGATATATTTTTTTATTGATCAAAATAGTAGTGATATTTTAGGAGTAAAAATAATAATGAGCAGAGACCTAAAGGGTTAAACTTTTAACTTTAAGGGGTTAAAAATTTTAATTTATGCTGTGAAAGGTGACAAATAAAATAATGCACATGCAACATAATATAAATGATATAGGAAACTATTGGTGGTTCTTAAAGAGTTAAGTAATGGTTTGTAAACATAAGATTATTTATTTTCAGCTGTTACAATCGTCCCTTTACTTATTGTTACAATCGTCCCCAAGACGCCATTTCAGCTTCATTTGTTAAAAACAATGCTAATTAATTAACAAAACTAATCTTTTTTCTTGAAATGTTAATTAAGGTGTCCACTTACATATTCGGTTAATAATTTTTATTTGTTGAAACAAAATTACTCTGTTACAATATAATATTCTAATACCAAAAAATGTACTTACGTAGCATGAAAATATCTTTTGTGCTGTAACTCTTTCAAAAGTACATAAAAATAGTTGCCAGCAGGGGTGTACATGTAGATTTAATAAATACACCTTGTGCGCCACCTAGGAACCAAATCTAGAACCCGACACTCGAAATTTTTGCCCTGTTACAATTGACCCTCTCTCCCCTAATGTTTCTTTTTCTTAAAGATTTTTTATTTTTAATTTCATTTTGCGTCAGACATAGTCCGATCGATCCAGCACCCGATTCAATCAGTCCAGCACTGCACGATATTCCTTATGCCGTTAAACTAAATAGCCGGCTTAAACATTAATTGTCAATCCGAATCCAATCCCATTGAATCGAAATACAAATAAAAATAGATCGCAGAAAAAAAATTTAAAAAAAAAGAAACTTTTTCACTTTCCTGTTTTTCCCCATTCCATATCCCATAAACAAGCCTTGATTAAAGAATAGCTTGATTCAAAAGAAATGTTGTTTTTTTTTTGATAAATATAAATATGCATTCGGATATCATACTGTTTTTCGTATTAAAGTATATTTTTAGGACAGTTAATCATTTTCAAACTTTAACTCTGCACTATGCATTAAATAAATTCGTAGCAATGAGGTTAACAGGGAATATTAAGTTACCGTGCATAATTTGTTTTTCATTTGGCCCCTAATGAAGAAATTATTTAACTTCTGAAACAACTTTTCTCTTTTTGATAGGAATGAATAATCAATTAAAGATGTTTGTTTACGTTTACAATGCGTTCGCAATATGTTATTTGTGTTTTCTGTTTGTGCAGGAACTCCTTTGAGACCCATCCACTTTGAATTCCATCATAAAGAAGCCATGTCTATTTCGGACACTGATGAATTGCAAGAAGAAGACAATGACTACGGTAAATTTTCAGCAACATTGCTTTTCACTTTTTACTGCGCTAATTCTATGCCATTCAGTGTATCCTAATCTCTAGAGATAAAATGGGTAATAACTAAGCAGATGTAAATTAATCTCATTTAGAATTCTATCCATTAAAATCTAATGGACAAACTAGGGCTGATGTTACCCAAAAAAGAGAAGAAAAAAATTAAAATAATAACTGGTAAAATAATGTTTTTCTTTCCAGAAGGGCAAAATGTCCGTGCCTTGCTAACAAATCTAACATACATATTCACTTATGAAAGTTCACTATAATACACATATTGTACTTTTAAAAAATAATGATAATAGCTTTTAGAATCCGCCGAGCGGTCTTTAATTCTGTGATTTTCATTAAGCATATTTTACATACTTTTTTCCTTATTTTGTATTAATTTAGGTCAAAATGAGTAAAAAAATATTATATTAAGCATTTTAATAATTTATGGTTATGAAATACAGTGTGAAATACTGTTTATTTTTTTCTGTGTTAAAAGACCAAACACCGCTCATTTCCAAACAATAATTTTTCAAATTTGCACTTATTGCAATTTATACTGAACTTAAGGATCCTTCATATCCTCAAGTTTAAATTCTTTTTCAAGTAAAATTGATTATTTTTCGAATTCATTCGTTTCATTCTAATCATTCGTTTCATTACGGTTTATATATTAAAAAATGTTTTTACTCTTACAAAACGTTCTAATATTTGTTGATTCCCCCAAATTAAAATTATATATTAGTTATACATTTAATATTTTTTTTTGTTGAAAAATATTGATTTTTAAGAAAAAAAGCAGAGTGGAATGCGAAGCAATCACAGGGGATGATGAACGGAACGAGTGAGAGCTGGCCTCCTAGTATTTAAAAAAAAAAAAAAATGCAAAATAAGCTTAGATTTGAGGCAGCGTATCTAAATAAATTAATTTTTATCAGATACTGGTGACTTAATGAATGCATCTTCAAAAAATGGAGAAAACCATGTTCGTGAAAGGAGAAGTGCTAAATGGTCACCCGATTATGACCTATACGGGCAGTGGGCCGAAGAGTATTATTCTGATTATGAATCATCATCAAAGGATAAAACAGAAACCAAATCAAAAGTAGACGTCATCGAGAAAGTAAATACAATTTTATCTAACCTTTTTTTCATATTTATTTTTGTAGTTTCTAATAAACATTGGATCCATTTGTGTTCAGACTGTTCTAACAATGTTCATATTGAAACATGGGTATGTGTGTATATATATTACATTCTTTTCTTTGCTTTCCCCACTACCACCAAGCTACCAAGCATGCGAAGCAGGACGCTCAGTCTCGGCAGGGTGGTGGTAGGAACAAAGCTCCCGATTACTACATCCGCGAAATATGAGATTTGCGCAGTTTCGGTTTTTGAACGCAAAAGGGACTAAAGCAATTGAAATTCATCGTTCATTGAAGGAAGTGTATGGCGAGTCGTGCATGGACATAAAGAATGTCCGCAAGTGGTGCAGGGAGTTTAAATCTGGTCGTACTGCAATACACGGCGAAAAAAGAACTGGGAGACCGTCCATTTCTGATGAAACAGTCGCGAAGACTGATCGAGTCATGCATCAGGATAGGCGCAACACACTGGATGATCTCTGCATTTAGATTCCCTCGGTTTCCAGAACCAGCATTTATCTGGTTTTGACAGAAAAGATTAGAAGGTGTGAGCAAGACAGTTCTCGCCGGCAGACTCTACCCTTGAATTTCTTCGCAGCTATGCTGATGAACAGGACAACTTCTTGATTTCAATCGTCCCAGGTGACGAAACCTGGGCGTACCACTTCACACCAGAGACAAAACAAAGATCACGTCAGTGGCGGCGGCATTCCTCGTCGCCTAAGCCTCGAAAATTCAAGCAAACACAATCTGCTCGTAAAGTCATAGCAACTGTGTTTTAGGATCGAAAGTGGGTATTGCTGGTTGGCTTTATGGAAACTGAGACCACAACACACTGAGAGATGTTATGAGACACTAATAAAACTCACGTGGGCGATTCAGAATCGCAGAAGAAGGATGTTGAGAAAAGTTGTAAGCATCCTCCATGATAGTGCTCGCTCCTACGCTGCCCGACAAACCATCGCTCATGTGCAACAGTTTGGATGGAGCATCATCACCAACCACCCTATAGTCTGGCACCCCATTCACTACCATCTCTTTCCAAATTTGAAAGAACATTTCTCTGGAAAACGCTTCAACAACGACGGTGAGGTGAAAGCTGAGGTTCGCAGTTTCCTGAACAGCATGCATAGGTGGACTGGTATGACATGGGTATACAAAAGCAGCCACTGAGCCTACAAAATGCCTGACTGAGGCATTTAATATATATATACATATATATATATATATATTGGTGATCGAAGTGAGCTACAAGGGGCCATAGAACAGAACTCTCTACCTATGGCAACACTTCGCATGCTTTCACCAGTAGCGTGTGGAGAGTCATAGAAGGAGGAAGTACGTTAGTTTCTGTCTTGATTTTTACATAGATTAAAATCTTTTAAGTTTGGAAACTATGTGGAACTGAAAACTAGATAAGAAGATAGTTCTAAAAGAAAGCATCATGAAAATTAAAAAAAAATATTTTTATTAATTAAAAATGAAAAATATTAAGAAAAGGAAAAAATATCGTAGTACATTCNGGAAACTATGTGGAACTGAAAACTAGATAAGAAGATAGTTCTAAAAGAAAGCGTCATAAAAATTAAAAAAATATTTTTATTAATTAAAAATGAAAAGTATTAAGAAAAGGAAAAAATGTCGTAGTACATTCCTGTACAACTGAAAAGAGGAGGAGAGGGCATAGAACCGCTCTTCTCCCCAGATGGCGTATTCGAGCGTTGTGACTCTAATATGTACTTAATAGCAATATTAATAAAGAAATGGCACATAATCGCTTAGGAGAATTGTTAAAAATTACAATGATGCTTAGTTAATTTTGGTAATGAAAATGAATCGAAATAAAAAGAAAACAAGCTATGTGTTAAAAAGCCAATCGAGAAACGATACTAATTTGTTTAGGAAGAAAGCGCCATCGCTATGTGCTCCTCTTAACGCATAGAATTGCTTAATTGGTTTTGGTAATAAGTGCTAAATAAATTGAAGGAAAAAAAAACAAAATTATTGGAGAAATGCTATTAATTCGTTTAAAAAAATAGTAAAATTATATCATCTGTAACAAATGTTTTTTAGCTTATAGAAAAAGTGGTTAATCAAACAACGGAAGAATCAGAGATCGAAAAAGCACAAAAGAGAAAACTGATTGAAAAGTCTATAATGTATACAACCTGGATCGTTGGATCTCTTGTGGTCAGCTGCTGTTTATTTATATGCGGTAAGTGCGGTTCCACCCATTTTCCCCCTCAAAATATAATTTAAATCAAAGAGGATGTATATATATATATATATATATATATGGGCCTTTAGGAATTCACTTTACGCCAACATGATCAATTTATTTAATATTTCTTTCCATTGAGGTCATTATCCAGCTCCCGATAATCAAAAAATATCGATATGAAACTTTTTTAGTTTTACTTTTTATCTGATAAGAAACATAGGTCCAAATATAAAACTTCTAACTTGGGAAAAATATGTTAGTTAGCGTTACTGTCAATTAGGTTCATTACAAAATATTTAAAAACTTTTTTTAGTTTTTAAATGTATCCCATAAAGAGTACATACTTCAAATTTTAGCTTTCTAACTTAGTGGTATCTTAAAACAATGTTAATTTTCGATAAAAATAAAACATAACTATTAAAATTATTTGAATTAAAATTTAGTTATAATTTTTTTATACACTATATTTTTATAAATAGAATTAATTGATCTTCACACGGTTCTCATATTAAAAATAAAAAGTAAAAACTGTAATTTTTGTGAATAAGGCGCTCATTCAATATCTTGACAAAATTTTGAACTAATCCTAAGTGTCAACCATTTATATATTTTCTTTTTTAAATTAGGAAGAAGATGTCTTTTCATGTTCTTGTGCGACTTCTGTGATCCACCACGATATAAAAACAAATTAACAAAGATGCTCATGAAATATGAACCGGGTGTTTATGCGCACAAAAATGGATACATCGAAAATTATATACCATTAGAAGAAGAAAAAGAAGCATTGGCAGAGCTAGTGAAACTCTTGAACGCACTATGATTTAAACATTTAGAAAGCATTTTTTTTTTTAAATTATTTTAAAAATTTCCGAAAATATTTCAGAAAATTTCCATAAAACCGAAAACGACAATAAAAAAAAGTTTCCCTTGTATGCATGCTAGATGATTTAAATAAAGATAGTCGATTATTAAATTTTCATAAAGAATGCATTGAATTGTTTGTATCGATTTAAATAGGAGGGGCTTAGGGAAATATAGTGAAGTCGAAAATTCTCCAAAGGTTACATTTTTGCATAAAACTGTTCCTTAGTATTACTCCAGATCGGTACATGAAATATTTCCGCAATTTTCATTTTAAAAAAAAAACAGTTAACTTCACAATTTTTACTATTTGTAATTTTAAATGCAATTCTTATTACAATTATTCGTTAATACAATGAAAAATTCTTATGATACAAAGTGATCAAATGTACAAATATATTCTTCATATTTCAACTTTTTCGACAAGTAGTGTGTCCCATGAGTATAATTTTGATCGAGTGCCCATAGAGGAATATAGGTAAATGTATATTCTAAATCACAGAACAACCCATCTTACTAAACATAAAATTAGACAATTGTTTTAATTTTACTTAGAGCAAAAAACTTTTGCACATTTATGTGTAAAAATAATGATGAAGTTGGATGAAATTGAACTATTCTCATATATTAAACAAATTTTTTTATTTTAGAGCTGATTTTTTAATTTTTTTTTCTTTTTACTGCAACACATCAATTTCTTAGACAACTCTTATTTAAGTAGGTAATAAAATACTATATTAATTTCTCCTTAATGTAATCAATGAAAATCTTGAATAAACCAATGTTTTAAGTCACAGAGCAACATCGATTTTCTAACTCCATTACGCTAAAAGGTTTACTAAATCCTTATGCTACAATAATGTTCTTTTGTTCTTAAGATTGAGGATAGTCACTCGATTTAAAATTACAATTTAGTTTGACTGTCCTACAACTAATTCAGGGTGCCCAAAATACAACAAAATACAGTTAAAAAATCAAACAAAAGACTACAAAATTGATCTTAAACCAGAAAGAAATTTTTAAAAAATTATCAATCCAATTTTCGATTAACTTTTATTGACATCTTAGCAATATTTTCAATTAGTTTTCTTAAAGTATATTAATAAAGTTTAATTTTAACATAAAAGACTTTAGAAACTACGAGGATTAAAATGTCCTAATTCAATCCATTTCATGCTAATAAAAAATGGGGCAACATAATTTTAAAAACTTTCGAATTACAGAGTTGGCTGAAATACGGTCAACTTCGTAAATCATGTCTAATTTATTACAGAAATAAATCGCTAAGCTGAAATAAGTTTACAAACTGCATAAAATAAACTTCTTTTAAATAGTATTAAATACAATAAGTATAAAGTACACATAATTTTAGCCAGTGCTTTGAACTTTATTACTATTTTTGAGTGATTTGTTTGAACCAGTGAAGTCTTTAGATTGGCATTTCTCATTGAAAATTCTGAAATATTCATGCAAAGGCTTGAAATGTAAAAGTGAACAGGAAAATAAACTTTTGACTTTATTACGATTTTTGAGTGGTTTGTTAGTTTGTACAGTTTTAAATTGGCACTTCTGATGATGAGAAATTCTGATATAACAGTACAAACAAAAGGCTAGAAATGTTAAAGTGTACAGGGAAATAAACTTAGATCTAAAAATTTTGAAGCAGTTCGTATAAAAAATAGTAACAATAAATTAAAAGAGGAAAAAAAACTATTTTTCTAATAATTTCACTGAGATCAGTTACTATTAATGACCTTGAACTTCGGACTATTTTTCTGTGCATCGCCACAGATTAGTTGTTAAAATACGTTTCATTACCCAATATGTATTTTTCAAACCAATTTGAATATAATTTCTCAGACTTCGGCAATTTGTGGACGGCTTTCTCATTCTATGGATTTTTTTCGTTTCGCCATACAAAACCAACTACTTTTTATAGGTTAAAACTATACATGAAAAAATACTGGATCGTTTCCATTTTTATTTCTTGCTTTATTTACTCAGTGTACGAATGGGCCACTATATGCGAATTGTCAACATCTCTAATTGTGATGATCGTTACGAATTCTCTACCTCCTGCATTGTGGTTAAACATACGCTATTTGAACAAATCCATTGAAACGTTTTTCTCACGTTTTCCTGCAACATTTAATAATACTAAAGATGATAAATCACCAACAAATAAATGTATTAATATTTCACTACTCATTGCGTTCATTCAGCCATGTCTTGCTGCAGTTCTGTCAAACTACACGTGTTTGCCCGCCACATCAGAGACGACAGTCCTCAGAAAATTACATAATTTAGTTCAAGAAATGCACGAATTTCCACTTACTTCCCCTGTTATCATTTTGTATTGTTCAATATGTCATTTACTTCTTCAACGCATAAGGCGAGTTAAAGACAACATGGATGTAGTTCTATACAGAAAAACAAATCCCTCTGAAGTTTTAAAAGAATATCATTCTTTGGTTATGTCAGTTGAAGAATTCCACACTGTTTTAGGCACTCTAGCAATATATCAATTTTTGCGAAATGTATGCTTCTTGCTAAGGAGTACATTGAGCATAGTGAATGATTCGTTTGATGGTTACCATCAGTTTCTCTTGATTTCCGCTTCATGTAACATTCTGTGCAGCCATCGTTTTGCTTTACAACTATCATTGAGGCTTGAGAAGCTTAAAGACCCTTTGAGAAATATAGACTTTTCTTACGCCCTAGAATTGACTCAGCAACATTTTGAAAAGGCTACATTGAAACTTTTACAAAGGGAACCCGTAATTTTATCGTTATTTTCCTATTTCATAAGGGGAAATAAAAAGAGACTATTGGGATCAATAGTTGTGTTATGTTTAGTGGCAACTTCTTATCAGTTTGGAATTACATCTCTAGATAATTTGAAGATACTCGGTAGAATTATTTCTAATTTTACAGAGTAACTCAACATTTTTACTATCTTTGATGCGATTATAAAGAAGACTATAATCCCTCTCACGCGTCTGCAGCTTTAGTGACATACCATCTTTTATTTATATTTTTGTGATCACACTCAATACATCTATTTATACATCATGCTGTGTGTACGGATAAGGAACTATTTATTCGATAGCTATCAAAAATTTCTCTTAATTTCTGCTATATGCTAACATCTAATGAAGATATTGTTTTGCAGTACATGTGCCATTCAATATCCTTCAAAGAATATAGATTTTATTTGCTCTCTTGAAATGACTCTAAAAAAACTTCAGCAGTCTGAAAGATAAGGGCTTAATAGTTTAGTCAGAAAACTGGCCGAAATTATAGACTCGTTAATTCCCCTATTACTTTCTTTTAGTATAGGAGATCAAAATGGGCTACAAGGTGGCGTAGAGGAGAACTCTCCACCTATGGCAAAACTTCGCTCGCCTTCATCATTAGCGTGTGTAGAGTCATAGGAGAAGAAATATGAAAGTTTCTATCATTATTTTCAAATAGATTAAAGTAATGAAACTATACTGAACATAGTTCTAAAAGAAAACGTCGTGGAAATCTTGAAAAATATTTTCGACAAGCTAATATGGAAAATATCGTAGTACAACTGAAAAGAGGAAGATAGGGTCAAGATATGGAAGAGATCTTCCCAGACCTCTCTTAAATAATAATACAAATCAAAATATCTTTGCAACCACTTATAGAACTATATGCCTAAAGACAGTTCTTCTTTTAAAATTTAGTTAATGTTGTTGTCTTATATATGTATATATCAGTGTTCCAAAAATTCGGAGGAAGAGTTTTGCTAGTTCTGGGGAGTGAGGAAATCTGGTTGTGAGCCGAGTCTAAACAGTGCAGCTAGAATGCAGTTGAAAAGGTGTGATGGTGTTCATTGGGGCAATGTCTGCGTTTACAATAGTCTTGTCTGGAGATATATGAAGTTCTAAGTCTTGCTACTATGAATGAGAGATAATTAAGGTCTGAAATAGAAGGTTTTTAAAAAAATTCTTGCGCTTGACAACATTATTTGCAAATTTAACTAATATTGTTCCATTTAATTTTTTGAATAATAAAGTACAAATAATATTTCAACGACATAATTTCAAATGATTCAATCTATAATTGAGAAAAATTGGTAACAGTTTCAAAGACATGAAAAATCAAAATCGCAACTTGAATCGCAGTTTTGCCAGAAACTATTCAGTTGACTTCATTCAAGTTTCAGTATTTTTCACTTTTTATTTAAGATAGGTTAAGTAAAAGAATAAATGTTTTCAAATTTTGACTTTTGGAAAATTAATTCATGCTTAAATTTTTTCATGCAAAATTATTTAGAATGCAAAATTATTAATTCCAAAGCTTAAAAGCAATCAATCATTTAAATAATTTTTAATTATATTTTAAAATGAAAAAGTAATAATGTTAGTAATATAATTGAACTTATGACAAAAAAGAACTCATCCAAAAAAATTTATTTTACACGAATAAAATTTTACATTAAAAAGTTTGAAATGTACTATATACACAATTAAAAACATACGAAAATTGACTATAAGTAAATTTAACAACAAACTTGAACAAGATATTTGAACATTTCAATAATGTCTATTCAACTATAATGTAACAAACCCATATTTCACAAAGAAATGTGAATAAAGATTTTACGATTACAAAAATAGATATCTTACACTAAGGAAAAACATGTTTCAAATCTTACCTTAAAAAATTCTGCATTTCATACAAATGTAATAACATTGAAATAAACAAAATTAATAATTTTATTGAAATCAATATGATTATCCTTATTAGCGTATCCTATGGAAATGAGCCAGAAGGTGTCACAAGATGAATTTTACATTGGAAAAAAGAAGTTTAATTAATCATGATAAAAATATGATTTCCAAGTTATTAAGATTCATTGTTAATCTCTGGTGTTTGTTTGCTGGGCTTAGAAAAATAAATATATTAAAAATAAAACAATTGCTTTACAGAAAGTAACAAAAGAAATATTACTGAAAAATACCAGATATTTTATTGACTATAACAATATGTGTATATATATTTTTGTATATATGTAATTAAAAGTTTTTGTTATTTTTTTTCTTTAACGATAAAAAATTATAAGATTTTAAACAATTTTCGAACAAACTAGCATGTGTGTTAAAAATAGATATGAAAATACATTGAAATAATATTAAACTTAAGATCACACACATAAACTTACGGAATTAATAAAACTAATAAATAAACAAAAAGACACATAAAGTTATTTGTGTTATACTTTACATGGCATTTTCATTTTTATAATTAACCTAAAATTTCCCCAGAGCTAGCCAAACTTTGGACAATAGAACATATTCGTCACCCCCAACTTACTACTTATGTAACTACTCCCTCTCTTTAGGAAACTCAGGGATAAGAGTTAAATACAACTTTAAAACACTAAACACTCTGACACTATAATTTACATATTACTAATGGACTATCCATGTCTAAACCTTGAGAATAAGTTAAGTGTTTCACATTTTTAAGTCATAAAAGTATTCCGAATTTTCGATGAATTTTAACCCATAAAGGTATTTGTTATTAATATTAAATACATTTCAAAGTTTCTATTTAAACTGAAAATTAATATAAGCGTGTTAATCTTAAAAATAGAGACAGTTTCCCTTAAACTAATATTAGCATAGTATGGAAGTCCTAAGAGTAATTGTTTTTAATTTCTTATTAATACTCTATCAACAGTTAAAGAGCTTTCATAAATATTGCTTTGACATTTAAATTATAAAAGGTTAGTAATAATATTTACAGAAATTAAATAACAGATAGAATGATTGTTTTTATGAATATAGATTTTTTACTATTTTTACAGATAGCAATTGTATAAAACTGCTTTAAGATTCTTAAAACCTATTAATTTTTTACCTTCAACATCTAATCAAAGATAACTTTTCACTATTTCAAAATTTCTATAAATTAACATTGAATGAGGGAGAAAAAAAACTCTAAACATGTTTAAAAGGTTTAACTGGCAGTTTCAACTATTGAAAAAGTACAAATGATATATTATGCTACGCTAGAATAGTAATAAAATTAAATCAATTCCAGTAAACAGAGAAAAAAAATATCTTTCTCAAATAAAGCAAACAGAGAGAGAGAGAGAGAGAAAAGACATCGTTCTTTATTATCAAAAAGGAAATGTTAAAAATACATAATTCAGATACTATGCTATAAAACTAAATCTATTAAAGCTCATACCAAAATTCAAAAACTATAATTTTTGTGAAATTACAAATGTTGTTTAGATGTCTGACAAAAACTTAAAAATAGTTTTAATTATAATTTTGAAAATATTTAAGTATAAAAAAGAAATGTTTAACGTAGCAAATATTTTAAAATTGTTTTTTGAAAACTAGCTTCTACTACATTAATCTTATAAAATATTACGCAGTCATAAAAAATAGAAAAAGCATAGAGACTCCAACCTCTGATAAGAACTTTCAGTAATAACTAAAAAAATTTCAGTAATTTAGCAACAAAATATGTTACAACAAATTTATGGCATTCTCGCAAACCATATATAGACATGTTCAAAAATTCAAGATCAGAATCTTACATTTTCATTAAAAATCTAGAAAATTATAAATTTAAAAAAAATTAAGAAACTTATTTTATTATTCAGCAAAATAAATTCACGAATTTATTTTATGATTCAATATTACAATCTGTGGTTAACCTCAGGCAGATTAGCAGAAATGTACATAAACCTCAGATTTCTTGAAGGGAGAAAAATCTAATAAGTAAAAAAACAAAAAGAAAAAATTAATTTAAAAAAAAACACAATAGTAGTAGCAATTGAAAGATATACTAAAAAATATACATATAAAAAAATTTTTTACAAATAAAATAAAGACTGAAAGCACGACAAGTGCATAGTCACGACAAGTGCATAGTCTTCATTTGATGAAGAACATTCTATTTTCATAGACAAAGGGTAGAATGAAAGTATTTGGAAAAAGAGCTTATTTCATAAGATGGTCATTTGAATGGCAGATCATTATGGATGATTATTAAAATGGAGGTTCCTTTAAGACTGCATTACAATTATTTACCTTTTTTCATAACAGTTATTTCAGATCACAAATGGAAAGTTTAATGAAGAAATTTAAACCCTTTTTTGTTAATTATTTTCATTTTTAAACATTGGAATATTGAAATGTCATAAATAAAGATGAAAAAAATTCAAGAAAACGTACAAAATTTGCGTTATAATTTCCATAGCAAAAGTTGAAATTAAATAGAAACTGTAGTAGAGTCTCCGAATTACAAAAATAACCTACAACTGTTTGAATCATCTGCTATGGGAATAGTTTTAATTTATTACAAAAAATATCTTAATGACAATGTAAATATCTGAAATCATAGAAACTTCGAGAATTTTTTAAAGCAAAACTGACAACTCATAATTTAGTTTAACGTGAGATCAAATTGTCAATAAAGTATTTTAATTAACCTCATGGAAAAATGAAAGCTCTTCAAGTTCAGCACTTGTATTGGAAAGAAATTTTTATAGGGTGTGAAGTTAAAAGTTAATTTAAAGCCATAATATATCATTTTTTTTATTACTAATTTTTTAGTTAGGAAAGTCCATTATATTTCATACAGATTTTTTAATCATTGCAATTAATCTTATAAAATTATGAGACACATCAAGAGATAAATATACCCACATGGTAGCAGTAGATATTTTTCAGAAAAGAACATTAGCTTTCACAAGGACGAAATGCCAATAAGTATAAATAATTAGTCTTCATTAGACTTTCATATTTAAAAAACAAAGAATATTATAATCACTATGATGCACTTAAAAATTTTTAAAGTTATTTAATTGTAAAAAAAAAAACAACTGTTTTTTAAACTTTAAAAAGCGTTTGAATGTTGAATGAATTAATTTTAATCAATTACAGCAAAATGCATTTATTTAAACCAAGGAAGTTTTTTTTTAAAAAAAAAAAAAAATTAGTTTCCAAAATAGGGCTGAATAATGTGAACTAAGCACAACTTGAGGTGAAAAAATGTGAGCGCAATCATTTATTTGCCTGGTAAACAGGAATGATTATCAGAAATTATGTAAGGATTTTTTTATTTATTAATTGTAGATAGCAGGTTTAACAGTAATAATAGTTTTCCAATAGCACAAATCATATAAATTAGCATCGTTTTGAAATTCTTTATGGTTAATTTAATTCTGTTCTGTTAAGAGACATATTATGTTGCCTCTGATCACAAGAGGAATCACTCCCTTCTTTCTAAAAAAGGAATAATTTGTACAAGAAAGCAAAGCCATATACACCAATGGAACAGAACATTAATTTTTAATCATTTCTTTCAACGATTATTTTTAATAAATCGAAAAAACAGTTAACAAATACGTTAATTTAGATTGCAATCAATCAGAAGAATAACTTCCGACGATACTTTGATTACATAGAAGACATTTTATATTCCTTCGACATCGAAAAGACGAATACAATAAAAAGAATATATATTTACAAGGATTATAATAAATAAGAGTAGAATAAGAATAGATTACTGGTGAGCAAGGTTTTTCCAAAAGAGCATTGTTTCAAGTAATTTTAAAAATTAAATAGGCACTCATAAGAATAATTGCAGTTTAAGAAATTAATGAGTTTTCCCCTTTTTTTAACAGAAAAACCAAAAGATTTTCTCTTTATATTACTCAACTTCAGTAAAAATACTGAAAAATAATATTTCTACAATAGTTTGATTGAAATTATGTTCAGAGTTTAATTTTCCAATAGAATAAAATAAACATTACAACTGTAACAATAAACACTGTGGACATACACAGAAATTATTTTTAATTGAAAAAATATATTGAACTTCATGAACATGCCATATTAAAGTTAAAGCGAATGCCTACAAAGCATAACATCATTCTAAAAAATTTAACTATGAATCAAAATTTTAGGCAGTTTTCATTGGAAAAAATAAATATAAGCTCCAACTAACTAAATAAATAAAAAAAACAATGCAAACTAGTAGATAAATTACTTTATTCTTTCATAGAATAAGAGATATGCTTGACATTTCATGACTTGAGCTTCATCTACTTCTCGCACATGTGCGTCACTCACGTAGTACCAACGACAATCAATCGAACTACGAGGTGTGTCACTATGAACTGTTTTTTCTGTATTGATTTTAGAAAATTTTTGCAGTAACTGTTCAAGATCACATTGAGCTAAAGGTAAATGACACATAAAAGTTTCATTTAATGTTCTTTTTGTAGCTTTTACGTAGGCGGTGTAATGACCGCTGCTCATACGACCACTGTGCTCGACAACACCGTAGAGAGAGTAAAGTATTTCATCTTTTACAGAACTCATATGAGGCAAAATCTACAAACATAAAAAATTTTTCTTTATTAACCAACAAAATAATAGCATTTAGTCTGTTACAATAGATTGAAAGAAATTCTTTTAATTCACTGAAAACTTTCAAATGACTTAAATCTTTAACAGTCGATATTACAAACAATGAAGGGGACATTAAAAGTTTTCAAATATTAAAAATATTGATATACTTGATATTTTATAAGTTGTAAAGTGAGTATTTTTATTCCAAACAGCATGACGATAACATGAAATTTTTTTATTAAAAACCACTTACAATAGTTAATAATGTGTTAGTATACAAAATTATTATTCTTATTAGTGTTAATATTTCCTAAAATAAGAGTACAAAAAGTTTTTTTTTTTTGTTCTGCAGGGAAATATTTTGTGAAAGCCATATACAGTTTTTCTAAAGATTTTTTTTTCTTCGTTAAAATAGGAAAAGAATAAAAAAAATTCGCAACATCTAAAAATTTATGATTTTCAAATTTGCCAAAACAAGGGTATAACTAAAAGTTATCAAATGTATTTTAATTCAGAAAAAAATTATTTTAGATACCACTTTTAAATTGAACTGAATCTTTTCTTTCATTGTTGTCATTTTTATTTCCATTTGGGTAGTACCTTGTGTCTTTTCACATCGATCAAAAAAAAAGAAGAAAAAAAAGAAAAGAGAAAGTGGAAAAAAAGTAATAAAAAAGAAGACTATGATATTTTTTCGAGTGAGGAACGGAAATTTTGTATTCTACATCTCGAATTGAAATGAGATAATAAAGTCAAATTAAAACAATTACACATTTTTTTTAATGATATTCGCTGGTTGCTTCCGGTAATGAATTATGCTTTATTAAAACAAAGGTACAGTGAGCAGTGCATTTTTCCTCTAAATAATAAGTTTATGATTTCTATAGTCTTTGAGGTTATTAAAAAAAGCGTATCTCAACTTGACAAAGTAACTATTTAGCAAAGATAAGGGGCTGTTAATAGATATATTTTTCCCTAAAGAAAGTTGATTTAAAACAAATTTATCAGAAAAGATAATTACTTAAAAAGAAAAAAAATTTTAACTTTAATTTCTTTTAAATTTTTTGTTTGTGCACATGCAATTAATTTTTTTTAATATTAAATAAATAATTCAAAATATTGATTTACTTAACTACAATTAATTACTTTATCCAGCATTGCAAAATAATACAATTTATTATACTATTGAAAATATATAAACCTGATAATGAAAAGACTAAATTAATTGAAAGAGTAATTAATTGCTAAATTCCTTTTAAAAATAGTATGCATTGAGATGATTAAATAAAAAAAATTTACAATTTGACAAATTAACTTTTTGGCAGAGATATTTTAAATTGTATTAATCTGCATAATTTTTACTGACAAAAAAATAGGAGAGTTTACTTAAAAAATAATAATTTATAAAATAAACAAACAAAAAAAAAAACCAGCTAATAGTAATTATTTTTTTTTAATAACATATCTTTTTATTTATTTCTGTTGTGTTTACTTCTGAAAACCAATTTCCTGCATTTAAGCTAACATGTGTCAATCTGTGAATGAATCTAAATTTTTAGTCACTGTTTCTAACCATCTTTACATTAAAAAATAATAATAAACAATCAATAAATAAACAACCTTAATCTCAAATTTGGTTTGTATAAGTGGACAGTGGTCATTTTAATATACAAGTCATTTTTTCCTGTACATGAAAATATTTTTCTCTTCTCCATTCCATGTTATTGAAAAGCAGCACTTGACAGGAAAATATTTGCACTAACTATCTAAAGCAGCTTAGTTGTAAAATATAATTTTTTTATTGACTAAAACCTTAACATTTAAAAGAAATTATTCTTGAATGAAAAAAAAATTACATTTTTAAAGGTAAAAACTAAAATTTTTTACTGAACATAACATATATTAAAATAATAAACTTTTCCCAGAAACGATTTTTGCTTTCCTTTTTATAAGATATGATTCCATTATAAATTATTTAAAGCAAAACATGAGTTGAATGTAAAAATACACATTTATACATTATTTATATAAAAGAAAATATGTTTGATATAAATAAGATAATAGAATACATACCAGACACGCAGAGCTGCAGTATGGAGCTATATCTAAAACTGATGGGAACTCAACAAATCTATTAACTTTCCTCAAACTCATTCCAACCTATAAAAATATAAATATATTTTTTTTTTATAAAATTAGCTTTTTAAATTCTTAATTTTTTACTAATTTAAAAAAATTGGTCCGAAGGTTCATTAAAAGTATAAAATAAAATTTCTTCAAATTTAATTACTGAACTTAGTTCTCTCCGACATAAAAAAATAAGAGTAAGAAAATAAAAGATATAGCAACACAGGAATTTTTTTAAGAAATAACTTGAAAAATCCATTACAAAATGCCCCATTTAAAACATGGTTATAACTGTTTTTTACATGCATTTTGTTCCAATTACTATATTATTTGTTTTGACGTTTTTTTTTTTAAATATCCAGATAATATTATAAACTATCATTTATGATATCACTGGATATAAATAAAAATAAATTAAATGAATCTTACAAGTAAAACAAATCATTGAAAGAACCTAAAATTTGAAAACACACAACATAACCAAATTATTTGCTTTTCTAGTTTTCTTAGAAGAGAACAGGGCAAGAAAAAAAAAAGAAACTCAGGCAAGATATTGAGAGTCATATCAAGTATAGTTAATAAAATATCAACTTTTAAATCCTAGCATAAAATTATTTTAACATTTAAACGTTATTTTAGAGAAAAAGTTTATTTTCCTTATTAGTTCAATTCACTCTTAAGTTTGGTGAGATTTTTCTTAGTTGTACAAACCTTAATCTACAGACTACAAAAGCTCAAAGCATATTTTATTTTTGTCACAAAAATAAAAGAAACTAAACTTTAAAAATTACCAGTAATAAAAACAAAATTGCCTAGTAAATTTTTGCCAAGGACAAGTAATTACACAAACTTTTTTTGAATTAAATTATACAATAAAATTTGCATTTGAGAATTTAAGTCAAATGATTTTTGCTGACACTTCTCTTCATATTATTTCATTACAATAAAATTTTTATGTAACATAATTTTCACATATTCATTACATAACTAAATACATATGAATTCCATAACATATATTTTTCACCATGGTATTAAATTTTTTTAAGAAAAAAATTTAAAAACTTTAAAAAAAAAGAATCAATACTAAAAAGAAGTTATGCAAAATAAACAGTTACCTGTTGAAACCGTTTCAAATGTAGTGTTAAAATTGCTGGTGGACTAAATATTAAAAACTGCTTACTGGCATTACTATAAGCAACATCTTTTTTATTTCCTATAAAAGGAATATTAAAAACATAAATAAATCAAAGAAATTTAAAAACAATAATAATGTGCATTTTCATACATTCATATTTAAAAGAAAGATTTAATTAAGCAAAAAAAAGAAGAAAAAAAACTATCTTTATTTAAAACGTATATACATTCAAAATTAATGAAATCCTTTCTTAAATGGAAGAGAATTTGAAAGTTATGTGATAATAAAAACACAGTAGAAACTTGGCCTAACAAATTTCTAGTTTTTGTTAAGATTTAGTTTTCTGAAGGCTTGTTCATACAGGTTCCCAAGTTCTTGAACCAAGATTGATTAAAATTTGCCTTGCTTGGATCATGTAAACAATCTTCCAAGTTTTTGGTCCCTTAGATGATAGTAGAGTATGTTCTACTTTCCACCTAAGATTATCCTCGCTTAACCAATCAGTTTTTATAATTTCCTGATTTTAGCAAGCAGGCATATGATCATTTCCTTTGGTTGTCTATTTTTATACATCCTCCTTCACATGCAGGTCGTCGGGCTACCGAAGCGGGGGTGCCATCCCCTCTGCAGAGGATCAAAATTGTGATGGCATGTCTTCGGATCAACCTCGGGGATGTTTCCCAGACCGTCGCCAATAGTCCATTGTGCAGCTCTAGGGAGATATAAAAGTACTACAACAACTTTCATACATTCTAATTTAAACAAATCAATCTGTTAGGATCTATTTGTGTCATTTAGATTTCATGTAAGTATGAATTTATAATCCTGAATATGAACAATGCGCACGGGCAGGCATTTTATCCGACCCATCAGTGACATTCAAGAGCTTGGATAATGTCAACAAATCATCTAATAACAGAAAAACCAAGTTAAAGTCAATTCATTTGCAATGGTAAAAATCATATATTCATTTATTGCTTAAAAGAGTGAAAAGTTTTTACATGTAATAGTAAAATTTTCGTTTACATAATTAATCAGATAAAAATAGTATATTTATTTAGAACACCTACTGAAAGTAAAATTTTTTTTAAATAAGATTTGGGTGAAGGTTTTAACAACTCAGAGGCAATGTCTCTCAGATACTATTTCAAATTCCCCAATTTATTACATACAAAAATATACAAACCTGATTTGCTTATTTTTATTTCTGTACATTTTTCACAGCGAAACTTGTTGCTACCAGTGAGCAGTTCTGGTTTAGTGAAATAAGTAAGGGATGAGTCTATTGAGCATTCATTTGGGTCACATTTTACTCTAGGTTTCAAGGTAAAAAGAGATTTCAATATCCACTCTTTGACTTGGCTTTCTGAAAAATTACAAGACCATTTCTCCTCATTTTCATTGTCACAGGTATCTTCTTGGCTTTCACAGGAGGCAAGGATTGTCTCCTCATCAGGGCTCAGAGAGGAATTCAAAATGCTACCCTGTCGATCACTGTCTCGACGAATTCGTACTTCTTTCACTTGTAACCCCAGAGTTTGCATTCTTTCATCAGACTCCAAAGACACATTTAACTTTTTAAAATTTTCAGTTAAAACACAAGCAGTCTCTGGAACAGGCTTGAATGTGGCATCTATAATAAAGCAGTTCATTAAACCCAATAATATAAATTAAACCTAAAAACACTCAAATACACAATGTGGTGAATGTAAACAATGAAATAAATAAAAAAAAATTTAAGTAGTCATATTAACCTATACATTTCTGAGATTCAGTATCAATCATTATAGATTACTCTTAATATATTTTTATAATATGTAAAACAATACTTTTAAAAAATTTTGCTTCACAGTTTGATTCTTTGCATAAAACTATTGAACCTCTAAAGCCAGAGGTATAAAAGTGAAGGATTGGAGCGATACCTTATATAATTTTTATGTCTGATATTTTAGCACATTCCTTGCAGCATCTACCAGCATGTCAGTGGACACTGCAGACATAAATTACAGATTATTATTCACTTTGCTTTTAAAAAGCAAACAAACAAATTGCTGTTATTTATAATTATTTTTCTGTTATTTAATTACAACTGTATAAGAATTTATTCAATTTTTATAGTATCATTGTATAAAAATCATCTCACAATTTAAACACACATAAACTCACATTTTTAAGGACCTTACATTTGCAAATTTTGCTACAAGTCTGTTAGATTCAGAGGAATTTTCTCAATAATAGTCTTTGTCTGAGTGCATTGAAATCGCAAAAAAATTTGAATTTATAAAGATAGTGCTGCAGATTCACTTTGCTACCGGACTGTGCGTGTATAAATATATATATATATATATATATATATATA